ACAGCAGTAGCTTCCTTTATAATTCCGTCTGTCACTTTTTTCGGATTGTCACGATGGTTTTTAATTAAAAATAAAATCTTTTTAACGTGTTCCGAGGCTTTGACCACGTCCAAAGCTACAGATTGGAGTACGTTGACAACGGGTTCCACCATAGCCGAGTATTTGGCTACCAACATAATCCCGAGAATGGAAGAAATTCTGGAAGTAGTCGCATTCAGTTGGAAGGCACTTTTCCGAGTTGCACTATTTCCTTCCTGAGATGAAGTTTGAAAGGTTTCCAGAATTATTGAAAGATTTTCGTTAAAAACTCTTATGGATTTGTTTTTATTACTCCATCTTGTCTCGCAAAGTATGGAAATATTAGGTATCAACTTCCTCCTCAAAACTGATTCCCGAAAAAAGTTCCTAGTATCTTTGGTGGTTCCTATGGCATTTCTAATTTCAGGAAGGTAATTTAGATCATTGATAACTAGATTCAGTTTGCGGGACGAGCAATGAAATAGAGTCATTTGGTGTACTTTTTGCGTAAGCTCGCCTGTACCCCTCCGTCTTTTCCTGATATCGTTGAAAAACCATCAAAACCAACGCATTTATTTATATTCAGGGCAACTACCCCCCCTGCCCTCCGTTGGCGACGCCCTTGAAAGGTGTGTCTGTTATCAAGATGAACATACCAGTTCACTTATTTTTTGCCACAGTGATATTAAATTTAAGTTATCTGAATGATACGAGTTTCAACTTAATCATTTGTGTAGTTCTGACATTTATGAGTTTTGTCTTAAAATTAAAAAAAACTTTGTAAAATATATCTAACATGGAAGACCAATCGCTATATTCAGTCAGTTGCAGCTTTCGAATAAAATTTAAATGTGTAATTATCCAACTTTTCTAGTCACACTTCTCATATAAATTCTGCTCTTTCGATAACGTTTTCGGCACCACCGATTCAGGATCACACCAGTCTGTCCACACCCATCTGGTGGCACTAATCTTTTGACATCCATCTATTTACATAAGTTCCGGACGAAATAGTTGACCAATAGTTTCATAGCATTGGCCATCTTGTTAACCTGAACTGAACCCCCAGGATCATTTTCATTGTGCTTCATCAGAACCAGTTCAAAGCATATGAAACCAAGGATGAAACAAAGAAAGGGTTAGAGTCTGAACGAATTTCTTAATTTTTATACACCTTGAATCTAGAAAAGTCAGTTTTTATGTCACCATAAGTAACCACGAAAGTTTCATACTCAAAAAACACCAGTTATTTGTTATATAATTCGGAAAATTTCGTGTAATTTATATTTAGACTCGAATGTTAGGCAAAATTACAAATACAGTTTCCTCAATGACATATAAAAGTTAATTATAGCATTGAACGGCGTCGGGAAAGAACACAATATCGGCGGGATATTCGCGTTCATTCTAAATTATTCGAATCAGATGGTGTTATTGATTTTAAACACATAAATTGTCCAGATTATTGTGTATCGAGAAGAATATCCTAAAGAAACTTATATATTTACTGAAATTTGATACACTCTTTTCAAGCAATCCTAAACAACTGACAACTAAAAAAAACAAATGTTTCTCTAACTAATATCATGACAGATATTGAATTACATACGTTAAACTTTCGCGAAGGTATTTTCTACATATGTAGAAAAAAGACGTTTTACATAAGCTCTTGTACTTTCAATGCCACATTATTACTGGTTTATGGGTCAACATTGTGATTACATGTTGATATTTCGTTGCTAATAACCTGAGTGGAGTAATTTCTAACTTCAAATCCCAATAGAAAAAATAAATTAACAAATACTAATTTTGTAATCGAACTCATATAAAATAAAAAAAATATTTCGACGAACATAATCAGATGAAGTGTGCTGCCTATTAGTGTTTTAAGTATTCGTGATAAATACTTATTTTAAATAAAGATACAAACTCTATTTTGAGAGATCACGTTTTAACTGTTGAAATTTGATATTTTTCAAATAATAATTGGAAGTTTTTGAAACAAAACGTTATATGTAACGAAGACTTCGAAACTTTACACATAGGAAATAAAGGTTTGAAATTGAATTATTTGGAAGCAATGGAAATTAATAAAATTCAAACATTCTAACTACCAACTGAATTTGAACAGATCTCCATTGTTGAACTTGTTTTCTTAAAAAACCGAGGAAGTATTATTATTGATGTAGAGGTGATACTCGTATGCTACACGTAATCATAATTGAAGAGGTACCTCATGTATATAAAAATTGTAAGGGTTTAGGTAATTGGATTGGCGTTAGAAGCAACTTGTATAGCGAAACACGTTTTGCGATTTTTGTAATACTGTTGAGTGTGTGTTGAGGTGTTTCTTGAATATATAATAATGAATCATTCGGGCATTTTTGTTGTCAAGTTCCTCGAGCACCAGTCTCAAACCTTACAGACCATAATTATTTTCAAAACTCCTAACCTTTGTCCTTGAGCAGTTTGGAAGTGGAATCATAACCCTCATTTCCAATGAACATCAATAGAAAAATCCTGGCTGCTGGATGACCAGTGGCGTACTGAAAGCCTTTCCGCCCTGCATCTCGCAATCTAGATTGGGGAATTGCCTTGTTGATCAAAGCCGCCATGTCACTCAGAATTTTGAAAACGTTATGGACGCGACTATTCTGGTAAACTTCATATATATTTATTCAATTATATAAATTCAATAAAATGAGGAGAATGTTCAGAAAATTGACTGAATTGTTGTAGAGGTGGAGGACATTATTTGGTAATTTTATTGCATCTTCGTTTCTGTTGTCAATTTTTTTGAATAACACGAAAACGAAAGTTTTTTCAAACTAAACATTCGACATTGAATTATATTCGATACCGACTAAGACCTTTTTCAAAAATTATAGAAGTGATATGGGGACAATATAATTATACTACTCGGTTCCCATGACATTGAAAATGAAATGAGGATAACTGGTGCTGATGAATTTCATATTAAAATTGAGCCTTCTCCAAACAAACATTGACATATGTGATGGAATTGGCCGATATTTGATCAAAACCGTAACGAATTCAAGTAAGACTTAATTTTCGAGATTTTCATTAAACAGTTCACTACCGCAACACGTATTTCAGTATACAATTGTCGGGTATTTTGAAAATGTCACCTGCCGCAAAGGAAAAGTCTGCCACTGCTGAAGAAAAAGCTACCGCTGCTAAAGAAAAAGATGCTGCCAAGGAAAGAACAGCAGCCGCCATAGAAGAAAGCGTGAACTATTTAAAAGATTTAGTTGTGGCTATATCTTAAATAGAATTTCTTTGCAAATATATTTGTGTTTCTGTCTTTGTTTACATACATTTGAATGCTTGTTTCTAGTTGAATAGGTCTAGAAGGTATATGAAAAAAAATCTCATATTTTTTTTCCCATTATTATTTATCCATTATATGTGTAATAAGTTACTACGTTACATGGAATTTATTGGTTGCAAATGTACCTGGTAGAAAAATATTTTCTTGTGTGCTTTTTGTACATACATTGAAATGTTTGTTTCAAGATATTTTTGTGTAATTTTCAAGTTCTCTAAATTTGCTATATACTGCAGTTAATCCATTTAACATAAATTCATCAAGTTCAACTCTACTAATACAACAAATTTCATCCACTAAATATAAACTTCCTGTAAAATACCTGACCACAGAATTCTGTGACCTAACCTCTTCCAGATTCGTTCGCAAATCGTTTGCGAACAACAAAGTTCGCTCGTAGTAAATTGTGCGAAGGGTCAAGAATAGCATTACTTTAGGATCATTCGCAATATTCAAACTTTCGAAGGACCCTGAAAAATGCGAACGGTCAAGAATAGACCCCCATCAGTATGAATACACCGAGAAATATATTGTATTTCAAAACACTACTAGTACTGGTACTTCAAGTATATTATATTTCGAATAAAAACAACTGATGGGGACTTTAATCGACATAGCAAATGAAAAATATATTTTAGGTAAATCTTTCCCATTGAGTTGTTTCTATCTTGAAAACAATTGAGGGTTCCAAAATAGTTTTCAATAGTGAATGTCAATATTTTGAATTGATTTTCTACTTCTCCATCTTTATACAAAACAATGTGGGAATCTTTCAAAGAAAGAAAGAATGCAATCATTTTCAAAAAATTAACTGTATACAAAGATGTGTAGTAGATCATGCAACGAAGTAACTTTCAGACACAAACTGGAAAAAAGCCCTCTTGAAATAGTTACTTTCATATAAACATTGAATTACACGACTAACACGAAGAAAAATACTTTAGAAACAACTACTTTTATATGAAAACTGAGTTATATGAAAAACACTTTTCTCTATTCAGTTTGTATTTCAAACATTTTTTATGAAATTGAATCAGATATCATTTCAGAGGATTGCTACACAATAAATCAAAATAACTTTATTTTGGTGAATGTAAAAGTTATTTATTAAAAAAATCTTGTTTTCGATAGAAGTATATGTCAAATTCTAGAAATTTTATATGGACCCTTATTTAGAAGATAACTTTTGTGGTATTTAAGACAGTGATAATCAATTTTCACAGAGAGCATAAAATCCTCAAAGAATATATTATGAGTGACTGCATATTCAACAATTGATAAATAATTTATTGCACCCAACAATTGCTTCTAAAAAAAGTTCGGTTCGGTTTCGAATTACATCGAAACTAAATATCGTTAGATCATGTCAAGTGATGCCAACATTGTTCATACTATTTTCTTTCGGAAAATTCACTTCAATCAGAAAATATATTCAGATCAATTTTGTGATCGGATTAAATGTTTAGTGTTCGATTAAATATCAAATAGTTAGCCTGAGAGATTAATTATCAAGTTTCACAGGCACCAATCCCAAAACAACCCTCCCAACTCGATTAAATAAGCCTCCAACCCTATTTTTCGACAAAAAAAAATTATGTCCCTTTCCTGAGAAAAATCTTAAGAAAAATCCTACCTTCTGGATGACCAGTGGCGTACCGAAATCCTTCCCGCCCTGCAGCCTGAAGCCCAGATTGGGCGAGTCGCCCTTGTTGATTCGCACTGTGATCAGAGACGCCATGTCACTCGGGGTGTTTTTCACTTTCGACCACTAGCACGGTATATTCACGGGAGGCGTTGGTTGTACAATTTCAAAAGCGGAATGTGCGCGATTCTTGAAGTGAATCCTCGGCTGGCTGGGACGTGGTGGGGAACCTTCTCGCGATTATTAATAGTACGCTGGACGGAGTTTTATGTATGTGCTGGTGCTTTTCGCGAATGCGGGATATATGGGTCACGTTTATTTTCGAAGAGGTTCATGTCTTTCGATAGCGGTGAGGAAAAATTCAGGGTCCTGCCGGGCGGGGCGGTCAAGATTAACGAGGGGCTTGGTGAGTGACAGCTGAGGATGAGGCGAGTCGGTGGCAAAAACGTTAAGCCGTTTCGAATTGTCTCACCAGAATGTTTTTTCCTGGAGTTGGATAATATTTTATGAATTTTTGTTGATTATCAATCTGGGATGTATCAAAAGCTTGATAAATTATAAAATACCCCTGGAAACGCTCTGCAACTCTGGAATAAGGGATGATTATTTGTCTGAATCGAATATATATTTGCGCTATGTAGAAAAACAAATATACAGGGTGGGACATTGAAAACGAAACAGATCGAGTATTTTTAAAACACATGTTTTCTGAAAAAAAAAGCAAAAACACGTCGATTTGTTGTCCAAGAGGGACATATTACTATCATAACCAATATTATGACCTACGGAATCATAGCCTGGGGTGTTGCATATGGAAATTCGTTAAAATCTGTCAAGTCTATTCATAAATATGCAATGAAAATAATTTTTAAAAAACTTTTCACATTTCCGTTGAAAGTTTTATTCAGAACATATTTCATTTTAAATCTCAGACAAACATTTTACAAAATTAGTACTATATAAAAAACATTCTGCAAATACTGACATAATAAAACTTCAGTATGATACAAGATCAAAGACCAATAAATGCTTTCAAATTGCTAAGTGTAGTCTACATTTAATGCAACAACACTGCATGTGTATTGGTTGTAAAATTTACAATATAATTCCACGATAAATCAAAAAGTTGAGAACAACAGCATTTAAAAAAACATCACACAATTGGATATTAGATAATATTGAAAAAATTTAAAATGTGCTCACATTGAAATAGTTCAGATCAACAGATAATTCATTCCACCCTCATTCTTAATAAAATACTATCATTGATACATGTCTTCTTTTCTATATATTGTTTCATGAACAATATCTATTTTAACAGTTAACATAATCATTATTTTTCAACTAACCCAGTCAAACACAAGTGTTTACACTTAGCAGACTGTGTTAAAATATTATACACGTACTAACAATTTTTTAATATTTATAGACATTAATTTGATATTCAAATTTGTTAATAAATTTGAATTTGAATTTGAACTGTCACACCTCTCCCCCGACCCCTCGGTCATTATCACTCAAACAATTTGAATGGGGAAAGTAGTAAGTGTGACACATTGTTAAAAAGGTAATTTTATGAGGAATTCGGCCATTTCAATTTTGGCTATCTAACTTTCAATTTTGGCACCCTCTTGCGGGAAAAAATTGTTCCGTATTCCAAATTATGATACTTCATTTGCAAGCTAATTTGACATTAATTCAGTGACAATACATTATGGAATTTTTCTAAAGGAAAAAACAAAATGGCGGCTCCACAATGGCGGACAAGATTTGAAATTATGGTTCGATTTGATTCAAAATGGATAAGTGGTTGTTTTCAGCGTCGCAAATTATTTGTTTGTCAATACAGAAAAACAATATGTTGGCTCCAAGATGGCGGACGTAATTTGTAATTATGGTTTAATTCGAATAAAAATTAGTACGTAGGGATTTTCAGAGTCGGAAATTATGATTTTTTTGTCGATGCAAGAAACAAGATGGCGAGCGAAATTCATAGGTATGGTTCGATTCGACCCGGCACCGAAAACAAATTCTTCAAAGCACATGAATTGTGACGATATTGCAAAAAACACGTCGATTTTAAATCCAAGTAAGACATTTTTAGTCGTAATCTTAACTGTCATACCTCTCTCCCTACCCCTTGGTCACGCATACAATTTTAATAGGGAAAGTACTATGTGTGACACAGCATTGAAAAGGTAATTCTATATGGAATTTAGACATGTGAGTGTTCGGTACCTAATTTTTCATTTTGGCGCCCTATTGCGGAAAAAACAATTGTTTCGTATTCCAACTTATGATATTGTATTTAAAAGAAAAATTATGCATAAATTCAACTAAGATCAATCCAAACTACATTGATTCACAGTAGATGCTCGAAGTGTCCTCCACTCACTGCCATACATGGGTATAAGTTCGTCTCAAAACGTTGACTGACGTTTTGGAGCATGTCTGGGGTTATTTGATGACATTTGGTTATAATACGTTGACGTAACCTGGCTGAGTGGCGTATATTTTACTTTTCAAATGACCTCACAAAAAGTAATCTAATGGGGATAAATCGGGTGATCGGGGGGCCATTCAATGTAAACTCTCCTTCTAATACAGTGTCTAGGAAATCCTTCATTCAGGTACTGACGAACCGCTATAGCAAAATGCGGAGGAGCTCCGTCCTGTTGGAATATTAGGTGATCCTCAAGCTTTCGGTTATCGTTATCTATTATGTCCATTAACGTTGGATCAACGGTATCTTCGAGTAATTTCGAATGCATGTCCCCAGACAGATTACCTGGTAGGAAAACCGATAATACGATCACCAAATATTTCAGCTCAAACGTTTAACTTTTGTGGGTATTGCGTGGGTATTGGGGAAACACTCTTGGATTATAATCTGACCAGTACCGACAATTATGTCGATTGACAGTCCCGTTGAGATAAAAACTGCATTCATCCGAAAAACAAATTTTGAAAACGGAATTTGGATCTTATGTAGCACGTTCACTCATGATTACACAAAATTGTATGCGACGATCAAAGTTGTCATCGTCAAATTCCTGAACCAGTTTGAAATTATGTGAATGGAATCTGTGAGCTTTCAAAATTCACCCGACGGTACGTCGACTTACTCCAGATTGGTCTACTGCGCCGAAGGGAAGCAAAGACCATAAAAAAAGAGAAGAAGAGAAACTTACTTCAGATAATTCGGCAAGCGTCTTGTACCAAGAGTTTAATCCGCAGCAACCTGTCCTAAAACGGCTACCTCCACCGCTTCGTTTCTTACTGGGTTTTCAATTTGACGTTTTTTATTTGCCACAGCTCCCGTTTGTTAAAATTCTGAAATCAGTTCCAAAACGTATTCACGATTTACGTTTCTTTTTGGGGGTTGCTCATTGAAAATTCTACTGGCTGTGTTGGCATATTCATTATTTTTGAAATAATATTCAATTATTTCTACCCTATCCTGTAAACAATAAACCATTTTCAATGGACCTGAAGTACTACTGGAAAGAAACTGACACACATAAGCACTGACACAAAAGGGTTTTTTATTATATCAATACTCAAATGCTCAAAAACGTCAGACGGCGTTTGGAGAATAACTTTACTCATTTATGGCAGTTCATGGTGAACACTTTGAGCATCTACTGTGAATTAATGTAGTTTGGTATGATTGGATTTGAATTTATGCATGGTTTTCTATTTTTTTTTTAAGCTTTCAGTCAACTTGCTCCCAGATAGTTTGTATGTATGTATGTGTGGGACAAATATTGCAGCTGACTTTTGACCCACTTCTAGTTGTTCAATCAACTTAAATCGAGACTTGAACTCTGGTAGGTGTTCATCATTGCGATGACAATGCAATATGGAAATTTTATTGGAGAAAAAACAATAAAATGGCATGTCCAGGACGGCGGATGAGATTGGTAATTATGGTCCGATCCGATTCAGAATTAAATTGTGTGGATTTTGGGTACAGATTTTCATCATGACTAAAACGAATTGAATAAAATTGAATGGAAAGCTTTTAAATGCAATGAAAAGGAAAATAAAAACTCGTCAAGAGTACAAGATAGGTAGATATTCTTGCACGGTAAAATTTTGAGAGCAATGTAAAACTTTGAGAGAGATGTCATAGAGATCGTTTCTTTTTGTAATGGAAGTAATTTTGTTCTATTCTATTTTATCAGAAGTGGTCTCTACTGGAAGTACAAAGTTGATTGAGACAGTGTATTGAAAACTGTTGTGCTTGTTTTTTATTACGATTACGGATTCAGTGTAGATATTTTCCGGTATTCCTGCGGTAGAGGTGAACGAAGATAACGCGAGTACCAGTTCAACAGAAAGTACAGCTCAACAGAATATGCTAGAGAAGTTCATGGAAATGGTGATAACAATAGAAAAGAATAGAATGGCATCCGAAGAAAATTTCATGAAACTGCTAGAAAGTCAAAACAATCAAAAACTAATTGGAAATGAACAAAACAAGGAGTTCCATGTGATGTCGGATTTCAGTCACACTATCGAAAATTTTGATGGATAATCGTTAGGGAAACCCACAATGGATTGGCTTTCCAGTTTGAAACATGCGGCGGTTTTACATAATTGGCCTCAGGAGTTTACTTTACAAATGGCGAAATTCCATATGGTTGGTACTGAAAAGAAATGGTATATAGAAAGAGCTTCTGAAATACAAACTTTGAGAGAGATGTCATAGAGATTGTTTTTTTTTGTAATGGAAGTAATTTTGTTATATTCTTGTACTTTTCATATAGGTGTTAAAGTTAAATTAAACTTCGTCGAACATTTCTACACACCCAGAACTAGTAACCGAAAATCCTGACCAATATTTCCAACACATTTTTTTATCAATTCAATTAATTCTTTTCAGTAATACTGGAAACTTGTAAAACGCCCATATGCCAATTTTGAATCGAATCGAACCACAATTACAAATATTGTCCGCTACCTTGTTTTTTGCATCAACAAAAGAATCATAATTTTCTACCCTGAAAATCCCCACTTACTAATTTTAATTCGAATCATACCATAATTACAAATTTCGTCCGCCATCTTGGACCCACCATATTGTTTTGCTCATTGACAAACAAATCATAATTTGCAACCCTGAAGACCATCACTTATCAATTTTGAATCAAATCGGACCATGATTGCAAATCTTGTCCGCTATTGTGGAGCCGCCATTTTGTTTTTTCCTTAGAAAAATTCCATGATGCATTGTCAC